TAGGGAAATCTGAAGAACCATGCTAAGTCTTATCCCGTTAGTGAAGGTTCCCTGGATTACAAACCAGGGACTTGGATTCACTTGGGAAGGAAATATTAGACCTAGTCCATGAGTATCACTTTAGACTTAATTTCAGGACGAAATTCCCTCTAACAGGGGGATAATGTGACACCAATCAAAGTTTGGTCAAAAATTAATTGATTAATAATCATAATTGGGATGAACCAAGTGGTAGATTTTGTAACAAGGTTTCCAAAAACATAAAGAACACTGAAATCCGAGTTATAACGAAGAAGTTATGACCAATCGAAAATCCGCGGTAAAACCGACAAAACACTGTTCAGTGTAAAAAGCGAATTTTCGATAAAAGGATTTTTAGCCTTAACAATCTAAATGAAACTTGTATAATATGTTAAACCGAGAACGTTCATAAAAAAGAACGTGAAAATCCGACTTCGTATGAGGAAGTTATGATTTTTCGAAGTTTCGGTTTAGCAGTAGACAGCTAAAAATTCGAAATATAAATCGATCGATATTTAGCCGACACAACTTAAACGAGAATCAAAGGTCTCATCAAAAGTAGCACAACGGTAAAAAGACAGACAAAAACGGACGTCGTATGATGAAGTTATGAATTTTTAACGGATTCCCGTCCCGGTCTGTTTAAAATAATAATATTAAAAATAAAGTCAAAATTAGCCGATGAAGTCTAAACGAAAGTCGTAGAGTATGATTTTACCTACACGTGCATATAAAGAACGCCAAAAACGGAGCTCGTATGCGAAAGTTATGATTTTCACAAGTTTTGGCACAAAAATAAAGAAAAATAAGAAAAACCGGGCAATTTCGCATGTGACACGTCACCTCGCACGTGGCAGCTGCTGAGTGGACCGAAGCCATGCTTGGCACCTCCTGATTGGACCGCATCTGAGGTCCACTAAGAAGCGAACAGCTTCGCATGAGATGCCCCGGAGACACCCCTCGGACACCCTCCTTTGCACGTATCCTCCTTCTATTGGACCGAAGTCCTGTCCAATCCGAGCCAGCCAGCAGCGAGCCTCCGGTCCGAAGAAGCCCCCTCCCTTCGCCATCTTTCCGATGCGTGGCAGCCTCGCATAGGCTCGGGTCCGAACCTTCGGACTATATAAAGCATGCGAGGGTTCCAGATTTTTTTACACTTTTCACCCCAATTTTCATTCTCTTTCACATTTTCCACTTCCACAAACTCATATACAACCCCTAAAGCCCCGGTATCAAGTCTCGAACTCGAAGCAAGCCCCGGAGCCCCGGAATTCTCGAGAAGTCATCCTCTCTCCTGTCGAAACTCTGCCCGGTTTGAGCCAGTTTCTCGTTAAATAAACTCTTTACGGGAAACGAAACGCTACCCGAATCACCGCTTATCAAAGTGAGTTCATACCCTTATAATATACCTTTTTAAATGGTTTTATATGCTTTTTAAGGGGGGAATACAAGTTTAACACAATATTAAATTGTGTTAATAACTGTGTGTGATAATAATCACACAGAAAATTTCCGTATGCTTTTAAGAATTATCAAATACTTCCAAAATAACGTGAAACCATGTTAAATCTTTAAAGTCATGTAAAAACTCCGTTAAATTCTTTGAAAATGTTTTATAAGCTATTTCAAAGTATAAATGCCAAAATCATGTTTATATATGTATAAATATATAAATAAGATTTGAAGGGCTTAGGACTAATGAATTATCCTATATCATTTTCCTTGTTTGGATGTGGAATTAGGGTTGTATTATTTGTCCAAAGGTCGTTTCCTTCTTAATTATATATATGTTATACATATATGAGTACAAAAGGTTACTCCTTTTGGTAACATCACATTTGTATCAGGCTGAGCAAAGGTGTTCATCCATGAGAAACCATGCTAATCAGATAGAACATATAAATTATAATAGGTATAATTTATCATTCAAAACTAAAGATACAAGTATGATTTACAACTGTATACTTTCCAAGGAAATTACCAAAATTCATTCAACTATACCAAGATATGTATAATACCTTTAATATACGAACAACATATTAAAGAAGTAAAGATACATCATACCTAGCTTGCATTAACAAAGGTACGATACAGAGTAGCAGGGTTAGCAAACACGTGGTAATGTCGGGTTTGCATTAGCAAAGGTACTATACAGAGTGCCCGAGTTAGCAAACACGAGGTAATAATACACCCTGCCGGGTTTGCATTAGCAATGGTACGATACAGAGTACCAGAGTTAGCAAACACGAGGTAATAATACATTCTGTCGGGTTTGCATTAGCAAATGTACTATACAGAGTACCCGAGTTAGCAAACTCGAGGTAATAATACATCTTACCGGGTTTGCATTAACCAAGGGTACGATACAAAGTACCAGAGTTAGCATTCAGCGGGTAATAATAATAATACATCGGAAATCTCGTTGAAACAATAAATATGTGAGACCCTTTACGGTGTACTTATCTAAGTACGACCTTTTTAAGTCCTGAACTATTAGCCAGAATCTCTTGTAGGGAGAGCGTGAATTTGTGTATAGATCTATATGGGACTGACAATCCCGCACCTCTACTGTTCGCTACAGTTTGGCCGGCAGGCCTAGGGTGTCAAATATCATTCCAGTTCTGACGCCTGAAGAACGTCGCTGCAGGCATTTCCGTCATATTAGTATGGTTAATAGGACTCACATGGATAAAACAACGAGTGAATTACAAAGTAATATACTTCTCTTATAACAGTAAGAAAAGTTAATTACATCCCGACCAGATATACCTTCAGTAGCTTTTACTTACAGTAAGAGCTATGTATCATGAAATCAAGTATTGTACTTCTGGTTTTGAACATTTAAAACCACAAGGCAGTATTTTGGATAATACAATACTCTCCAGGATTAATACTAAGGTTTTTACTATAGAACAAATATAACTAAGAACACTTTTACAAATGAAACGGTTTATGGGATTAAACCACTTATACCAAGGAAACGGTTTATGGGATTAAACCACTTATCAAATGAAACTTAGTCATTCAATCTCTGTAAATTAGTATAATATAAAAGACCTTTAGTGGTTAATTCTATAATTTCCTTAGTTATTACATCAGAGTTGTACATAAGTAATGTCCGATTGACAGTTAAATGTGTGACTTTCGCCTTACTTCCTGTTCCTTGTTTGGTTGTGGGCTTAGGGCAGATACACCCATTTAACTGTCAATTCAATATTATGTTATGTATAATCAGTATAAACTAAGTAATTACAGAGGGAAACTATTGAGGTTATCAGTTAATCACCTCAGGAGATATAGGATTTCCTGGAGAAACCAGTGAACTTATTCAAAGAACTTAGGGTATACTTAACAGAACTAAAATACTTATGAACTCACCAGCTTAAATGCTGATCTACTCTTTCCAAATATCTTGTATTCTCAGGATTCCAGTAGACAGGTACACTCCCGAAGCTTTTGAGAAGACTACCTAGTACCGTACCGCGACTCTTGTCTTCTCCTGTACCTACTTTAGTGTTTGAATATGTAATGTTTAAACGCTTATGTAAAACTTATACTTATTAATGCAATGGTTGTTTGTACTTTGATTACTATGTTACATGTGTTGTGATACTTACCCAAAGTCCTCCGCCCCCGAACGTTTCCGCCGTTCTGGTTTGGGGGTGCGACAGCAACCCTGCTGAAGGTAGCGCCTAGCTCTTGCTGTTGAACATAAAGCTGGTCCTCGATGTGGCCTCTCGCCCTGAATCACCAGCTCTCCCCCACTTGGGGTCCTGATCCGTACCAACTGTTGCGCGCAGTCGATCACCGCCCCATTGGGGCTCAACCAGTCCATACCAATAATAACCTTGTTCCCCTGCAAAGGTATGGGAACCAGGTCTACCAGGTAACGCTCCTCGAACAGCCGCAAAACGCAATCTCGGTAGACCTCTGATGCTCGCACTGACCGGTCGTCCGCAATCTCGACCTCTAGAGGGCAATCCAACATGCCCGAAGACTCAGGAAACTTCTTGCTAAGCGCAAGAGAGACAAACGATCGGGTAGCACCCGAATCAAACAATACCTGAACTGGGATACCGTTCACATGGAACGATCCTAAACATAGCACATACATAACATATCAAAATCACAGCGTCATAACATAAAAGCATAAGAAAGAAATCGTACCCGTCACTTAGGGATGAAAGTGGGTCCAAACCCGGACCGGATGGACCCGGACCCGGAAAACCCGGAACCGTTTAATGATATTTTTTAGAACCGGAAACCGGACCGGTTTATAGGAACCGGTTCCGGTTCGGTTCCGGGTTCGGTTCCGGGTAAAGTGGGTCTAGAACCGAAAAACCCGGAAATAGGAAAGTGGGTAAGGTAGAACCGGGTCAAATGGGTTTAGAACCGGAAAACCCGGATATTTTTTTGTAAATACCTCAATCGCATAATCTTTCAACCGTTATAAAAAAATTAACAAACAAAAAATTACATTTAGGTTATTAGGTTATTGACGACATTGATTTTTTTTTTAAAAAAAGTAACTAGATATAACAAAGTTGGTTTAAAAAAATTACATTTTGGTCACTATGAAATATGAGTTTTGGAGAAGGTACTGTACGTCATATTTGATAGTTGATACTATTAATTTTTTTTTTTTAAGAAACTATGTATTTGACTATTGGATAATTTATTTTGGGTTGTGTGTTTTAATTTAAGATATGTGGAAATTCTAAATTGTTAATTAATTATTTATTTGCAACCACAATAACTTGTCTTTTTGTATTTTTGACCTTGAAGACTTCAACTTTGAAAATATGAACATAAAAGCAAGAGACAATTTTTTTTGACATTAGCAATCTTTTAATTTTCATGTTTTGTCAACATCTCACAACTTCTCATTATAAATATGCCCTTCCACCTCTACATTTTCACTTAACTTATTATTCTCTAAGTTGAAGGTTTTAAGTTGTTTTTTCTTTTCAAGAGCATTCATGGAAGCTAACCGCCTAATTCAAGTATGTTTCTTTTTAATTTTATGCAAATATGCATTTAAAGTAATTGACTAATTTACGTCTTTATACTTCAATTAGGTTCCGTTTTGAATCTATTAGTTTTATGTCTTTGATACTTCATTTTTTTTACATGCTTTAAATCTACCTAGAGTTTTTTACTTAATTTGTTTAGCATTTGAATTTGAAGGAGAGGTCCACATGTTGGCAACATTTTGATATGTTGTGGGTAGTAGAAGATAATGGGGTTGAACGAAGGCAAGCAAGGTGTAAGTATTGTTTCGCTACACTTAAAGCCGATCCATCAAGACACGGTACAAGTAGTCTTAATAGACATTGTCGTACGTGTGCCAAAAATCCGAATAATATAGCTAGGTAATAAGTTTTGTGCTTTTAATTTATTTGGTAACATTTTTTTTAATACTAAATATGTTTATTTTTGTTTTATGTATAGAGATTGAAGATGCGTTAACTCGACAAGATGGTCAAGGAATAAGTGTTGTTTTGTTCTTAATTGTTTAAGAATTTTGATTTGAATTGTTTTGAATATTAGACTTTGATTTTGAATTGTTCAATAGGTACCATGAACTTGGACCCAACCATTCTCTCTTTCTTCGCTTGTGTTATGTTCTTTTCATTGTTATTTTACCACAAGATGGATCAAAAAGAAATATTCATTAAAATGATTATTAAAATGACGAAATGCATTGATAACAAGCATGCGAAAGTAACAAAAACATCCGTCATTGATTAAAATAAAAGTAATAAAAAATTAAGACAAAAATTATTAAAATAAAAGTAATAAAAAATAATAAAGTGGAATGTGGATGTGCACTGCATTGATTAAAATATCATTCATTTATACTTGTTTACACCCACATGCACAGTACCAAACAAGTAAATTTTGATTCAAGTTCAAAAACATTAATCAACCAAAACAAACACTTACAAACCAATAATCATTTATCAACAAAAAAAACAAAAATAGTATAAATACTCGTTAATATCTATCGGCCTTTTTCCATTTCCATTTTGGGTGCGTATGGTGTCTTCCAACTCTAATATATACCAGAAAAAAAATTAATGTGAAAGTTAGCATAAAACCAATGTTTTGTTACTAGATAATAAAATGAATTTGTATGCTACCTTTAGCTATCTCATCATCTTTAAGAATGTCATCGATGTTGTCAACAATCGGCTTCTTTGATTTCCTCACCCAATCTTGGGTGCAAACCAAAGCCTCTATTATAGGTGCGGACAAGTTTGCTCGGTAACTATCAATTATACGACCGCTTGTACTAAAAGCGGACTCGGATGCCACGGTAGATATTTGAATGCCCAAAAGATCTAATAACATAAACATATAATGTTAAATTATATTACATTATAATAAAAAATATAAGTAATTAAAATTATACCTTTTGCCATCCGTGAGAGAATTGGGTAACGAGATGCGTTATTTTTCCACCAAACCAGTATATCAAAGTCCTTAACGCCTTGGGTTTGTCCTTCGTTCAAGTATCGTGTTAATTCCGTTTCCTTTGAAGCCGATGAATTCACCGATTGAGCAAAATAGTCACCCACAAAGTCGTCATCATCATCAATATGCACGGCATCTTGACTACCACCGGTTTCAAATGGTACATTAGAGTTGGTATTGTAACAATTAAAAAAGTTCTCAAATCTCAATTCAATATCCTTGATTAAAGACTTAGTCTTCGCAGTAATATCTAATTCGGAAAGGGGTTTATTTTCCGGCATCTTGTACTTGATCAATGTTTCAAAAGCATGTCTAAGAAATTCTGTCTTCATTCGCGGATCCAAGATAGTCGCAAAGTACATGTAGTCATTCAAAATTTCAAAATCTCCCCAATACTTCTGATATTTATCTATCATATCCTTCCCAATTGAATAAAATCGTTTGTTTTTCGACCAAACCCATATATGTTTGTAAATGCCACATACTTCTCCAAAAAACCGATTTGCCAATGGTTTTGAAGTCGTCGACACCAATTCTGTTTTGACCTTGAACTTCTCAAGAAAGGAGACCATTGCTCGACAAGTTACAAAATCTTCACTTACGGGGGTTACCACATCTCGTGCAAAGGAACGATCTATCAAAAAAATGTTACAAAAAAAAATTAATATATCATTTTTGGGGGGCTGTAAATGACTCCGTACATATGCAAATAAGGTGTTTCCAAAGTCTATAACTATTGCCAAATAGTGAACTACAATTTAAAAAAAAAATCAGCCCAAACGGACTCATAACGAAGTAGATATGACAATTTAAAGTTAACGAAAAATTCTAAAATAATGCTGTTAACAGATTCAAAACAGCTTTGATATATCATTTTTGGAGGGCTGTAAGTGACTCAATACACATGCAAATTAGGTGTTTCCAAAGTCTATAACTATTGCCAAACAGTGAACTACAATTTAAAAAAACAAATCAGCCCAAACGGACTCATAACGAAGTAGATATGACAGTTTAAAGTTAACGAAAAATTCTAAAATAATGCTGTTAACAGATTCAAAACAGCTTTGATATATCATTTTTGGAGGGCTGTAAGTGACTCAATACACATGCAAATTAGATGTTTCCAAAGTCTATAGCTATTGCCAAACAGTGAACTACAATTAAAAAAAAAATCAGCCCAAACGGACTCATAACGAAGTAGATATGACAGTTTAAAGTTAACGAAAAATTCTAAAATAATGTTGTTAACAGATTCAAAACAGCTTTGATATATCATTTTTGGAGGGCTGTAAGTGACTCAATACACATGCAAATTAGGTGTTTCCAAAGTCTAACTATTGCCAAACAGTGAACTACAATTTTAAAAAAAAAAATCAGCCCAAACGGACTCATAACGAAGTAGATATGACAGTTTAAAGTTAACGAAAAATTCTAAAATAATGTTGTTAACAGATTCAAAACAGCTTTGATATATCATTTTTGGAGGGCTGTAAGTGACTCAATACACATGCAAATTAGGTGTTTCCAAAGTCTAACTATTGTCAAACAGTGAACTACAATTTAAAAAAAAAACAGCCCAAACGGACTCCGAATGAAGCAGATATGACAATTTAAATAAAGTTAAAAATTCAGCAAGAATGCAGAAAAAAAATTACCTTCCATTTCATACTCGTAGAAAGCTTTTTCTAAATCCACCGTGATCTTCAATAAGTCGTAAGTTGAGTTCCAACGAGTGGGACAATCGTTGCACAAAAATTTGGTTGATTCCACCCCGACGGCTTTCATGCACTTTTTAAATAGAGCAATCCGTTGTGTCGACTTTCTAATATATCTTACGGCGTCTTGCAAACATTTAACACTCTCGTCATTTTTATTCATCCCGTCTCTCACAATTAGATTGATAATGTGTGTCATACACCTAATGTGAAAGTGTTTTCCTTCATTGTACAAGTTTGGTAATTTGTTTTTTAGAAACTCTATTGCTTTGTCATTAGAACTTGCATTATCAACCGTACAAGTCATGACATTCTTAATACCCCACCCTTGAATACATTTCAACACTTCTTTTCCGATATCTTCCCCCCGTTGACTATCTAATTCTTTAAAGTTGATTATCCGTTTGTGCATCTCCCAATTATCATCAATAAAGTGTGCGATAATGACAATATAATGCACCCTTTTACTCGGACTTGTCCAACAATCGGTGGTCAAATGAACCGTGTTAAGGGGATTACATAAGAATGTTACCAACTTATTTCTTTCTTCTTGATAATAAAGTGACACTTTTTTTGAAATTGTTATTCGACAAGGTACAACCACCTTCCCGTTTAGTGCGTTTGTGTATTCAATAAAGGCCTCATTTTCTACAAATTTAAAAGGTAGACCACCCACTACAAACAAATTCAGCATAGCCTTTTTAATTCGTTTGTCGTCATGTTTCCAAGTGCTAACACTACCCTCCCCGGTTGGTTCTTTTTTAAATTGTAATGTTTGTTGGTTTTTCAATTTCTCGGGGTTTTGCTTACAACTCTTTGCATGCTTATTTAAGCTAGACGTACCGGTATTATTCCCGTCGGCTTTGAGAACCCTCTCGCACCATTTGCACTTTCCATGCCGAACTCCATCAATAAAAATCTTCTCAAATGATTTCCAACAATCGGACCTTGTTTTCCCTACTCTTTTTCTCTTTTGTGTTGGTTCCTCATTGATTTCTTGTTGAGTGTTGTCAACAAAACCTCATCATCATCAAACTACAATAGATAACAATAAAAACACAATTAAAATACAATAACACAACTTAATAACATAATAGTTGTTCTTATGCTAATATGTTTGTTTCAAAATTGATATTCATATAGCAAATGGAATACATGTCTTGATTATATATAACTTCATATCCTAATCAAATGGAATACAAAAACTGCAAGTATCAAATGGAATACAAAAACAGCAAGTATCCTAATATGCTAATATGTTTGTTTTTATTGAAAAGTAATTAAAATAACACAAAAAGTAACAGTTAACATATAACACTCAACATACAATTGACAATACTTTAGAAGAGAAAAGGGCAATAATACACTACTAGTCTTGGAGAAAAAAGAAATAACTAAAAAATAGTTTAGGCACTACAATAACAGACTAGCAACACATTTGCCGGAAGAAATCCTCAAATTCTATTAAATAACAAATTAAAGTTATAGGCTAGCAACACATTTGACTGAAGCAAGCCCCGGTTTTTATACTCAATTATCGACTCCAGTTCAAACTTCAAACTACATGGCTTAAGCTTAAGAGTGAAAGTAATAGGCTAATAGCAAACTGTGATTCCCACAAGAAAGTAAAAAAACACAAACTTCATAACACATGAAATCAAAATTCTTGACAACTTACTTGTGTAGATTCATTGTTATCTACTCAATTGTCCAACATTGGTCTTTAATTGATTGTAGGAGATTGATTTGAAGTTCAATTGGGAATGAATGGAAGTTGATGTTTTGATGATCGTTGAATTGGACTTGAAGTTCGATGGATTTGAAGCACAAGACGGGAATGTTTTTGTTGATTGGCCTCAATTGTCGTCGATCGCCCACAGAGAAAGCTAAAAAAAACGAGTCACCGATCATAGAGAAGTAGATCGTCGATTCTAGTCGCCCAAGTAGATCGTCGATTCTAGTCGCCCAAGTACACGAACACGGAAAAAGAAATCGGTCGTATTCTGATTCTACAGTAAGCACGTTTCCTATACCCGGTTCCACATTAAACCTAATCCGGTTCTTTGGCCCACTAAACCCGGACCCGGTCCATTAAACCCGGTTCCGGTTTTTTAAACAAAACCGATTCAAAAACCCGGATTAACCGGACCCGTTGGACCCATACCCGAAATACCCGGAACCCGGATAAGAGTAATTTTGAAACCCAATACCCGGACCGTTTAAGTATTTTCCGGTTATACCGGTTCCGGTCTGGTTTTCCGGTTCTAAATCTCATACCTACCGTCACTACATCGGGTGCAGCGCGCGCCTCCTCGTCTGTCAACTGA